CTTTGTTTATTTTTGGACACATTTTATCCGACATGTCTTTTGCAAATATCTTCTCCCAGCCTGTCACTTGTCTTTTTATTCTCTTGATAAAAGTAATTTTAGGGAGTATAAATTTTTTTTTTTTTTTTTTTTTTTTTTTTTGAGACGGAGTTTCGCTCTTGTTACCCAGGCTGGAGTGCAATGGCGCGATCTCGGCTCACCGCAACCTCCGCCTCCTGGGTTCAAGCAATTCTCCTGCCTCAGCCTCCTGAGTAGCTGGGATTACAGGCATGTGCCACCATGCCCAGCTAATTTTTTGTATATTTTTTTTTAGTAGAGGCGGGGTTTCACCATGTTCACCAGGATGGTCTTGATCTCTCGACCTCGTGATCCACCTGCCTCGGCCTCCCAAAGTGCTGGGATTACAGGCTTGAGCCACCGCGCCCGGCCTGGGAGTATAAATATTAAGATTTACATCTAATTCATTTGGATCCAAAAAATTTTAAGGTGGTCTAAATGTTTAACATTAAGTAATACTGAATAATAATAAATGTTCACTTATATTTATAATTACTTCTTTTAAGCTGGGAGTCTTGCTATATTATTCTTATAATTTAGTAACATTGCTACTGATTTTTTCAATTATGTATAGATATAGCTCACAAAAATAACGTTAGTCTTAAGGAGTAATATATTTGCCTCAAACAATATATTAAATATTGCAACTAAATTGTTTAAATAGAATGCTAGCCCCATTGGGTGAAAGATACACATCAATATCATGCTATAAATATTAAAAAACGCACAATGTGTTGTTCAGATTTAATTAATATATCATAATTTATTATATGCCAGTATATGAGGAAGAATTCTTAAATGAAACAATAAATATTCGCTTGGTATAAAGTTTATTTTCATGTGTAAAAAGTATATATGACAGGAAACCCCTTAAAATAAAAAATAATAAAGTTTTAGGAAAAAGATGAATTTTTAAAATTGGTTGCTGTTTTCAGATAATGAAAATACTGACATATGTGTACTGAATTACCTTAAACTGTTGAGGTGTTAGAGAAACATTTTTTAAAAAATAAAAAAAGTTGGAGGAGACACACAATATAGAAGAATGAAGGTACTGATTTATGTAACACATGTTTTAAAATGACCACATAGACAGAATCAACAAAAGAATCAAATGCTTTAAAAATACAGAAATGCTAGACATTCCCCTAATAGTGTTAATGGCATACATAACATTCCAAATCAAATAACTAATAAAAATTAATTCACATTCAATTAAAACCAAAACAATGTAATATAAAATTGAGTTTTTGTTAAGCACTGACAGTCTTTTAGTGTTAAAAAGTCTCTTGTACATTTAGGAAGATTATACACATATAAATTATCTCAGAAGTAGAAAAATATGGATTAGCATTTTAGAGGCAAACTTGAAACCAAAGACATGGAGGATACTGTTGCTCTGCAGTTTTTAATTGTTCTGAGAGTTTTCTCTATGTATTCGCTCAGAGGGTGCATCATTAAAAGATGCAAAACTTGGGGCCGGGCACAGTGGCTCATGCCTGTAATCCCAGCCCTTTGGGAGGTTGAAGCGGGCAGATCACCTGAGTTCAGGAGTTTGAGACCAGCCTGGCCAACTCGGCGAAACCCCCGTCTCCACTAAAAATACAAAAGTTTGCCAGGCGTGGTGGCAGGTGCCTGTAATCCCAGCTACTCGGGAGGCTAAGGCAGGAGAATCTTTTGAGCCTGGGAGGCAGAGGTTGCAGTGAGCCAACCTCCTGGTCACTCTACTGCACTCTAGCCTGGGCTACAGAGCAAGACTCTATCTCAAAAAAAGATGCAAAAGTTTGACACAGCAGGCCGGCATGGTGGCTCATGCCTGTAATTCCAGCACTTTGGGAAGCTGAGGTGGGTGGATCACTTGAGCTCAGGAGTTGGAGACCAGCCTGGGCAACAATTTTTGTAGAAACCCTATCTCCACAAAAACCACGAAAATTAGCCAGGTGTATTGGCATGCACCTGTAGTCCCAGCTACTCAGGAGGCTAAGGTAGAGAACTGCTTGAGCCCTGAAATTCAGGCTGCAGTGAGTTGTGACTGGGCCACTGCACTCCAGCCTGGGTGGCAGAGTAAGACCTTGTCTCAAAAAATTAAAAATAAAAATGCTTTGACACAGTCAAAGTTTGTGACCTTTTTAATGTTTTTCATTATCAAAAGAAAATATTCTACATAGAATTGTCTATCCTACCGAAGGTATAGCCTTGTAAATGTGTATTTGTCTTTTCCAAGTCCAATTCTCCTTTTATATCCATATTTCACTGATTTCTTAATTGTAATAAAGTGGAAAACTGATCTAATTAAATATAAAACCTTGTGTCAAAATAGATTTAATGAATAACACTAATCAATTGCTGGTAGATGAAATACAAACAAAACAGATAAATCAAACAAAACAACAAATTTACCACCAAACTTAGAACAGGAATAGAAAATGGTGAAAGTGATAGAAATACATGTGACTGCTCAATCATTACAAGCATTTTTCAATAACAGTTTTATCATATTTTCCTTTTTATATTTAAAGTATCATTATCTCCACAATGGATACTCTATAAATATCACAATCTTAATGATGGATTCTAGACTCACTCAAGTTAGAGCGACTGTTTTATACAAAATGATAGCAGTAGACAACTCTAGGCAGCTGCTTGGGTGGGGTGAGGTTGTCACAGGTTCTGAAGCTAGCTTTGTAGTTAGAATTTTGGGGTCAAGAGAAGTAAATGAGTTCATGGGATATTTCAAAATATGATTCAGTAAATGATATATATCTTATAATTCTATTCATCATAAATATTTTTCATATGTGTATGAGAATACATATAAATATATGTAACATGTAGATATATAAATGTATGTATAGATGAGAAATGCTTGTAAGTTTCTGTCCCAAACTTAGAATTACATACAAGATCCCTGAATTTCATAATTTGAGGCAGTATAATTTTACAGGCATGGCATGGGACTAGAAAAGTGCGCTCACTCATGCTAAACCGAGTTGTCACCAACTTGCTAGATTTTGGACAAGTTATTCTTTTATGCCTTAGTGTGATTATTGCAAAGGAGAATTTGCCTGTAACCCTTTAAAGAGGATTAAAATAAGTACAAAGTCACATGAGCAAAAGTGCTTATGTAAAGCCAAGACACAACTTTTATATGCAATATGGGTAACTTTTAAAATCAAGTTAGATTTCTTAATTAAATGTAAATGTTGCTAGATGATCTATTTGCAACAAGCAACAAAGAGACAGAATCTAAAAGGATAAAGTCTTTAGCAGTCTGTAATGATTAAGGACTTAAACTTTTATTTGCCTTAAGATGATGCATCTTAAAAGAGAGACATACACTCACACATGCACTGTAATATGATTTATAGTTTCTAGACATTTAATTTGGTAGGAATTATCAAACATGTGGATTTGCAGTCTCACTCCTGTAAAAATTATAAAACAAAATAAATAATGATCATTTTTATAAATGATTCTAAATGATAAGAAAATATAATCCCTGGCAAAAACATAAAGCAGGTAATTTTCTATTCTATTTTTCAGGAGTATGTTATTTCTTGAGCTCCTGGAAGAGGAAACAAATTCACATATACCTACATGCCCACCCAGATAAATTTGTGGGCGCATACTCCAGAAGTTTATAGCTCATATGCTACTACATTCTTAAGGAAAAATTGGTTATACATATGATTTAGAAGACTAGACAAAGAATAGGTTTAAATAATAACGGTGTTTTCCTGTTGTGTTCAGACATATTAAGAGATGCAAAAGGTTTCTGGTAACATTAATCAATATTATTTTAAGAGCAGAAAAGCAAATTACTTTTTTCAGATTCTCAAACTATTTATGAAGTTCAACAAATTTCAAAATAATCATATGTAGTTATATATAGTGATAATTTTGCAATGAAGAGGGGAGTATTTACTAATCAGTAACGGGGCAACTTCATTAATTCTATTGTCTCCTAGATTTGAGGTCTGTTTATTTGATAGCATAACAACCCTTGCAAATTCATTGCAACCTTATATCCTCTGAGGAACTAACTTTATAGCAAACAGTATTTTTTAGAACAAGAAAACTACTGACCCCACTACCTATAATAAAACATTACTGACAGCAAGAGTTAAGATCTAAACCCAGCAAAATATGATGATTGCTATGCAATAATTTAACATATAAAACCAAGGGATTATATTAAGGTCACAGATTTATACTGAAATGCCAAATTCTGTGAAGTATTTCTAACCCCCCCAAAAAATCCTAAGAAAGAGTAGGTCCAATATCCTAACTGGATAATCTTTTTTTTTTTTTTTTTTTTTTTTGAGACAGAGTCTCACTCTGTCATCCAGGCTGTTATGGCGCGATCTGACCTCACTGCAACCTCTGCCGCCTGGGTTCAAGGGCTTCTCCTGCCTCAGCCTCCCCAGTAGCTAGGATTACAGGATTCCACCATCATGCCTGGCTAATTTTTTTTTGTATTTTTGTAAAGATGGGGTTTCACCATGTTGGCCAGGCTGGTCTCAAACTCCTGACCTCAGGTGATCTGCCTACCTTGGCCTCCCAAAGTGCTGGAATTACAGGTGTGAGCCTCTGCTCCTGGCCTGACTTTGGATGATCTTAATGATTAGACATCTTGCTTTTTTTTTTTTTTTTTTTGAGACGGAGTTTCGCCCTTGTTACCCAGGCTGGAGTGCAATGGCGCGATCTCGGCTCACCGCAACCTCCGCCTCCTGGGTTCAGGCAATTCTCCTGCCTCAGCCTCCTGAGTAGCTGGGATTACAGGCACGTGCCACCATGCCCAGCTAATTTTTTGCACTTTTAGTAGAGACGGGGTTTCACCATGTTGACCAGGATGGTCTCGATCTCTCGACCTCGTGATCCACCCGCCTCGGCCTCCCAAAGTGCTGGGATTACAGGCTTGAGCCACCGCGCCCGGCCATCTTGCTTTTTTAATATTCAGGACGAGAAATCTATAACCTTTATCTGTACAAAGGATGCAAAGAGTTCACCAATTCTACCTATGCTCTTTATAACAAAGATTTTTTTTTGAACCACTAAAACGAACATTACAAAAATGTGCTTTCTTCTTAACTGCAAGGATATAGAGTCAGAAAGTCTCTTATCAAGCTGATAATGATCAAGTTCAGGTTCAAGATGCAGACAGAGCTTCTGTGGTGCAACACATGGCTTATTCTTCCTTTATTCCTTGCAGTTTGTCATAAAAAGCTGGAGACATGCCTTTTTTGGTTCAGGGAGAACAAACCATTTCAAATAACATGAATTTCTTCTTCTTTTTCTTCTTCTTTTTTTTTTTTTGAGATGGAGTCTTGCTTTGTTGCCCAGGCTGGAGTGCAGTGGTGCTGCAATTTCACCACATTGCAACTGGCGCCTCCCAGATTCAAGCAATTCTCCTGCCTCAGCCTCCTGACTAGCTGGGACTACAGGCCTGCACTACCATGCCCGGCTAATTTTTGAATTTTTAGTAGAGACGGGGATTCACCATGTTGGCCACGCTAGTCTCAAACTCCTGGCCTCCCAAAGTGCTGGGATTACAGGCATGAGCCACCATGCCCAGCCTATCAAATAACACAAATTTCTTATACCAAGATGGCAAGGTAGTCAGTGAGATGGAAGAGACATAGATTTTTTAAATACCCTGAATCCTTTTGTGGGCCCAGGATATGGTGGTGGTGGTGAAACACTGTGCTTTCTGGTCAGTGCCACTGCCTGTTCATAAGAAGGTAATCCTGTGTCCTCCACAGAAGGTGGCAATGGAGACAAGGCAGCCTCCTCAGGTCTTCTGAAAATGATGGAGGGAGTGTGCCTACCCCTTTCATAGATGGCTGAAGAGCTAAGCAGAGAGACAACATTTAGATCTAGGAAAGGTAGCATTTTTAATTTGAGATGACAATATTTAAAAATCCAACTATCTTTATAAACATTAAACACAATGTATTAACACAAGAGTTTTATTTTACCCCCAGACTCTGAAAGTCTTGGTACAGTGGAAAGACCAAGAGCTTTGAAATCAGACATGGGTTTGAAATCTGATCCTGTCATTTCCTAGCTATGTGACCAAAGGCAAGTTACCTACCTCAATTTTGTCCTCTCTAAAATGGGGCTAATAATAGCTATCTCAATAGAGCAGGTTTTTTTTTTTTTTTGAGACGGAGTTTCGCTCTTGTTACCCAGGCTGGAGTGCAATGGCGCGATCTCGGCTCACCGCAACCTCCGCCTCCCGGGCTCAGGCAATTCTCCTGCCTCAGCCTCCTAAGTAGCTGGGATTACAGGCACGCGCCACCACGCCCAGCTAGTTTTTTGTATTTTTAGTAGAGATGGGGTTTCACCATGTTGACCAGGATGGTCTCGATCTCTTGACCTCGTGATCCACCCGCCTCGGCCTCCCAAAGTGCTGGGATTAAAGGCTTGAGCCACCGCACCCGGCCAATAGAGCAGGTTTGTGCAGATTGAGTAAGATGCATGGAAAGCTTCTGGCAGTGTCTGGTGCACTAGAATAAAGACTCAAAACAAGTGAATCCCCTTTTCTCTTACTCCTGGATTAAAACTTTTTGAAAGTATGATGCGAAACCAAATCCAGGCTTTGTTGAAAGGTGGCACCATTCCAGGCCAAGGAAATAGATGTCACAGATGTAATCACAACAGGCTGATGCCTGTCCCTCTCCTCCGTTCCCTCCTGCAGTCCTGCTGCCTGGCCAATCCTTCCTAAATGGTACTTTCTTCATGTCACTCTTTTCCTCAGAAGCCAAACCCACAGCGTACTTCCGGCTGAGGCAAGTTCTAACTCCCGTGCCTTCTCTTCAAAGCCTCTCTTATTGCAGCCGCACCTTAGTTTTTATAGCTCTCTACTCTACCAAGACAGTTTCTTCACACTCCTCTATATGGGCAGTTAAGTTCTCAACCCTTCTCTGTGCTTTCACTGGTATTGTTCCCTTTCTTGAAATGTTATCTTTTCTCTCCTCTGCTTTGATCTAAGCCTAACACTTTAAAAAAATATATGTGGCTGAAATATATATTTTTTCACCATTTTCACAAAACCTTGTCAGCCAGTGAAATGCAACATGGGTCTGGGGTCTATTTTATTATTTTATTTTAGACAGCGTCTCACTCTGTTGCCCAGGCTAGAGTGCAATGGTGTGATCTTGGCTCACTGCAACCTCTGCCACCCCACCGGGTTCAAATGATTCTCTTGCCTCAGCCTCCTGAGTAGTTGGGATTATAGGTGCCTGCCACCACACCAGCTAATTTTTTGTATTTTTAGTAGCGACAGTGTTGCACCATCTTGGCCAGGCTGGTCTTGAACTCCTGACCTCGTGATCTACCTGCCTCAGCCTCCCAAAGTGCTGGATTACAGGTGTGTGTGAGCCACTGTGCCTGGAGGGTTGGGAGTCTTAAACCTATGGTTTTCCTTTCTCACTCATGAAGTGCAAATTACTACTTAAATGCTAAGAAATTGATCTATTTAGACTTGAAGTTGGCTGTTTATAAAAGATCTATACATACATGGACCTCCTATAGTTACGGCTAATGAAATAATTAAAATGCATAGGGGGATACATAAACCATTCTCCATGATGTGCTTATTTCACATTGCATGCCTGTATCAAAACATCTCATGTGCCCATAAATATATATCCCTACTACGTACCCACAAAAAAAAGGAAGAAGGAAAAAAATGCATAGATAACCCCTAACTTCTAGTCAATATTTACAGTATTCTTACCATCAAGAAACAGTTTAGCAGACTCAAAATACTGCCAACTTTTCCAAATTAAATCAGTCGTACCTTTTTTCCTTTTGAGGTAATAATGAGATCTGAATTAGAGGGAAGAAGAGAGAAAAATTGAGGAGAAAGAAGAAAAGCAAAAGGTCTGTGTAAATCCAGGAACTGGATAATCGGCCCTTCAACAGTTGAGAGGTGACTGAGAGGATCACAAGTTTACTTAGAGGGCTCAACACAATTCCTCCTCTGTCAGAATCTGGAATGCATTCATGGTAGGCAGTCTCTTGCCACAGTCATTAGCTCGTGACAAAAAGTTCAGTTTGTTTACTTATAGGATAAAGGAGAAGACAGCTATTTTATTTGAATAAATAAATTCTTCCATGTTGACTTTCAAAATTTAATGTATGGAAACAATGTAATAATAATATCAGTTATTAAATATCTACACAGTGTTTTCTTACACATCTCAATCTTACATGCACTAATAACATCTCAAACTGGCAACATCCCATGATGCTTGTTTTCTTCCACAAAATAGAGCAACTAGGAAATGAAAAGGTCTTGTTTTTCATTTATTGGCTTTTTTTTTTTTTCTTTTTGCAATGGAGTTTCACCCGTTGCCCAGGCTGGAGTGCAATTGTGTGATCTCAGCTCACTGCAACCTCCGCCTCCTGGGTTCAAGTGATTCTCCTGTGTCAGCCTCCCAAATAGCTGGGGTTGCAGGTGCCCACCACTACCCCCTGGCTAATTTTTATATATTTTTTAGTAGGGATGGGTTTTCACCATGTTGCCCAGGCTGGTTTTGAACTCCTGACTTTAGGTGATCCACCCATCTCGGCCTCCCAAGGTGCTGGGATTATAGGCATGAGCCACCACGCCCGGCCTCTTGGCTTGCTTTTATAGAGGAATGAGGCAAGCTTTTCTGACAATGATCTTATTTTTTACTCTCTTCTTTCTCAGTTTCTTTCTCCCTCCCCTTACTTTCAGATTTGCAAAATATAGAAACAAATAACTCTGCTGGAAGAATTTCTTGGAGAAATAGAAGAAAAGTACTTTAGTATTTACAAGTTAATCCTAACGTAAGAGAAAGTCTAGTAAACCTGGTTTGGAGTATCCCCTGAAACTCAGAGAGTTGCTGGGAGGATCAAAGTGAGACAATGAATGTAAAGATGATCTGTGCTCTAGAAGCATTACACTGTGCTAGTGTTAAGTACAATGAATTGCACTTTTAAAATAAAAGGTATACAGGGTTTTAAATTTTATAATAGACACGGAAGACATGTCGTAATCACAGGCATAATACTCTCTGTATTCGAACTCTGCTATCCCTTTTGCAGGGAAGAAGCTAGGAACATTTCAGGGGAAAAACAAGGCAAAAGGTGAAAAGACATAGTGATGCAGAAAAGTCAGGAACTGAAGAAAAGCAGGGTAGAGAAGAAAGCGTAAGCATGAGGACACTAATGACTGTGCTATTCACAGACATTGAGTGAAACTAATATATGAGGACATACATGAACTTTTTTGGAAAAACGTTGTGAATGAGGTGAAAAAGAAGAAATGAAGAAGCTCCAAAGACAAATTTTTTGCCTATTTCTTCATTATCTTTTTGTTGAGACGGAGTTTTGCTCTTGTTACCCAGGCTGGAGTGCAATGGCGCGATCTCGGCTCACTGCAACCTCCGCCTCCTGGGTTCAAGCAATTCTCCTGCCTCAGCCTCCCGAGTAGCTGGGATTACAGGCATGCACCACCATGCCCAGCTAATTTTTTGTATTTTTAGTAGAGATGGGGTTTCACCATGTTCACCAGGATGGTCTTGATCTCTTGACCTCGTGATCCACCCGCCTCGGCCTCCCAAAGTGCTGGGATTACAGGCGTGAGCCACTGCACCCGGCATTTCTTCATTATCATATGGATTCCTCCCAGCTTGTGGAGAAAGTCGCATTGAATAAAATCTTAGTGAAAAGTCCTAGAAAGACCTTGCTCATTTTCTATCTGCTATTGGGGAAATTAATAGAGGTCTGTTAAACAAATTAAACAAATTATTTCTTACTTTCTCTAAGCTCTCAAATTTTTATAGGCTTTATAGGGACAAACTCCTTAATCTGTGCCCATAATTCACATAATACCTTAGGGAACTTTCCAGCATGGGGCTAGAATGACCATTTATGTTCCTCTGCTATCTTTGCTGTCAGCTCCTCTTCTTTCTGTACCCTTATTGTGGACATTCTTTAGGGCTCTGTCCTTTTTCCCTTTGGTCCCTTTATTTATTTATATTGAGAGAGGGTCTCACTCAGGGGCTGCAGTGTGGTGGCACAATCGCAGTTCACAGCAGCTTCAATCTCCCTGGCTCAATCGATTCTCGCTCCTCAGCCTCCTGAGTAGCTGGGATTACAGGCACCCACCATCATGTTCAGCTAATTTTTGTATTTTTGGTAGAGACAGGGTTTCACCATGTTGGCCAGGCTGCTCTTGAACTCCTGATATCAGGTGATCCACCTGCCTTGGCCTCCCAAAGTGCTGGGATTACAGGCGTGAGCTGCCACACCCAGCCAAATTCTTACCCTTTCTTTTTTGTTTTCCAAGTAAAAAGACTTTGTGGCTGATAAACACACACATGTATTATATACAACATATAACATTATATATAATACATAAAACATTACATTTTCCATTTTAATCATTCATAAATGTACATTTCAGTGGTATTCCACTCACAAGGTGCAACCATCTCCATTATCTATTTCCATAACCCTTTCATCACCCCAAAGAGAAATTCTGCACATAAGAAGCAATAACTCCCCATTCCCCTTGCTATGGTTTGAATGTTTTTGTCCTCCTCAAAACTCATGTTCAAACTTAATCCTCAATGCAACAATATTAGGAAGTGGGGCCTTTTGGGAGACTTTTAGATCATGAAGTCCCTGCCCTCATAAATGGATTAATGCTGCTGTAAGAAGGGGTTGCAGGAGTAGTGCTCTCTCCTCCTTCTGCTTTTCTGCCATGTGAGAAACAATGTTCCTCCACTCTGGAGGATGCGGTGTTCAAGGCACCATCTTGGAAGCACAGGCTGGGTCCTCATGAGGCATACAATCTGCTGGTACCTTGATCTT